CTGTATCACTCATAACGATAACATAAAACACAACTAATGTAATAGAATGGAATCAATCTCGTGCTCTTTATGAAATTGAAGCTTTCATCAATTGATAACCGGTACTCGACACCTGTCAATACGTTCAATTCGTCGGCAGCCCTGCTCCATCGCGTAAAGCTACACCGGTCAGCCGACACCCCTGACCGGCGCAGACACTCTGCTCTGATATTTAATATTTACTCGAATATCGTTTCTTTTTTGGATTAAAATATCCACTGCGACCGACAGGCCATATTATTTTGATATGTGAAAATCGCACAGGAACTAAATGTATTAACATCTGAAAAAGCGAAAAGCTGTCTAAAAGCTCAGTGCTGTATGACAGAAAACGTATTTCTCGGTGTTCCGCAAACTGATTTGGTTGCCTTAAAATGAAAACGTGTTTCGCTATTTCAAGTTTAATGTGTTTAATTTGTTTTCTATACTTGGTTTTAAATGTTCACAGGAATATAACTGAATATTAACTGTTTACACAACAACTTGTTCAACAAGTGGTAACGAAATAAATTCCTAAATCGCCAGAGGCTGCTTTGCGCGTTTATCTTAGCAAGCCGCAAAACTAATAGCCGGAGCTTTATATAATCTACCAACTATATCGCATGTTAACTTCGGTTTAGACCACATGTACTGTAAAATAAACTACTGGTAGACTTTTGTTTGTATAACTGATATTAGTATACAAAGAGAAATTAAGAACTAAAATGTTATGGCATGAGCATCTTATCAGGAGGGAAGAATAATATGTGATAAGGATAACTTTTAACATGACTTATTATTACATTACTAGGCAGATGATTTCGCACGGTGGTGGTATGCCGGCCATCAAGATGGTGTAGATCATAGCTCTGTACTTCGTGCCAGTGTGCCTGGCGATTCGTATTATCCGATGTAGCAACTAGGCAGCAGGAATCTTTCAAAATAGTTTCTCGGATCAAACGTTTTGATAAATCCCCTCCCTCCATGTCAATTCATAGATCTTATCATTACGAAGTTTAAGGGCCAGTCCCACCACAGGCTGACACAGCTTCAGATAGCTTAAAAATAAAATGACGTCACGGTCAGATAAAGGTACAAAATCCGATATTTCGATCACATATTTTACACTTTGGATTGTAATCGGACAATTTACCATTTGGTGGGACAGGCCCCTAAAACGTTTAATGCCTTTGAAGTGTCTTTGGCAAATGTTTTATGCGCATAACTGTATCTGTAACCTTTAGGCGTTTCCCCGATTGTGGTACGTTTACATGTGTACCTCAGGTGATTGTGTGCGTGTTACATGTACATATAGACATACAAAGTACAATGAATACTAATCGTCGAGCCTACGTATTAAAGTCGGATCGGGTGACTCTAATGGGCCATTATACTAAGCCGACATAATGAAGCCTGATTTGCTTTCATTAGCAAATCATAAACAGAATCAGACAAATCCAAAACGGTCAAATGTTGATTTTATATGTAAACCTTCATTTTGTATGTTATTTTAAAAGATGTTTTGGCAGTGGAAACGTGGTTTTTTACAAGATGATATTGAAAAGATCTATTTTCAATTAATTAAGTGAAAGTTCAAAGGAAAGTAAAAGCAAGATTATTCATATAAGTCTGATCAAAAAGGACTAATCATTTCTTTCCTTGAATTATATTGACGACAAATTGGGTAATTGCGTATACAGGTTATTTTCAGGACAGATAATATTTGCTTTCGTCTTAATTCATATTATCCAGACTGGCGCAGCGGGGGGTGGCCTGGAATAGACAACGTAATAGGGTGGCCTTGTCATGTCTGGAACATGAAACATGGCTCCACGTGACAGATTATTGAGGTTTTAAGGTGAATTAGCATTATTTTGGTATTATTCTGTATTCATCAATGTATTTTATCTGAACCATTACAATGTAGGGTAACTGTAGGTTTCATAAGAGTTTTGCATAAAACTACGAGTTATTTACGGAAGCTTGTTAAAAAAAAAGACAATTTGAATAATTTTAAATCTCCGTATGCCAAAAAACAGATTTAGTCATATTACTGACATTTACATTTAATAATAAGTTAATGATGCCAGATAAAAACGGTCGTTTTCATATTTCTTGGCCACAATAACTTGTTATTATTGTATTAAAAAACTCGTTGTAATATTATATCGATGTATTTTTCTTCTCTTATCTGCATCTTGTACATATGATTTGGCGACAAGCGAAGGGTAATGGTGTTACAGGATGTTGACAAGAGCACTTCGTTCAATCTGATCGTCTCATATGCGCAACTAGTAATCATCATATCATTGACTTGCCCTTGTCCCTACAGAAGGTCGACACAGTATGTGCTACTCTACCCTGTATCTCTATTTTAAGAACATTAATATAACTGTATTAACGTAACTAAATTAAACACTTAAGCTACTGCCTCCCGCCAGAATGGAGGATTATTCTAATATGTCTGAATGATTTTGACAGCTGTCAGACAGGGAAGTGGCGTGTTTGCCGATTTTATTCTTATATTATGTCTAAATAACTTAGATTAGTTTGACAATTTATTTCAAATTGAGTAGGGATGGGTTGTGTAAAATCAGTCATGAATCTTATCGATTATCGATTTTTCTTGTTATAGAAGTTGGAATCGATAGAGATGTATGGAAGAGCAGCACATACTGTGCTGGCCCTCCGTAAGGGATAAGAGTAAGTGGATGATGATGACGTAGTTACAAATTAAGGCGATGGCTATAGGACGTTATTAGGTTTCATGGTTCTTCAGTTTTTTTTCATTATTCTCGAAGGGTTTCATAAAACCATACATCTTAAATTTGTTAATATAAACCTTGCAAAGTTCTAGGGAACGGAGGATTATGGAATTTAATGGGAGTTTATTTGGTTAAGTAGTAATTTAATATTTTTTAAGGTCGCTACAGACGATCAAGTCGCACTGTTCAATTAAAACGGTCAGTGTGTAGGCAAAATTTTAACCGTAAATTGAACTGTAAAGTTATCCACGCTATATACGCTAAGTTTCAACTGAACAGTTGTAATGTTCGATTAAAACTGTGCGTATGTAGACAATGTTTTAACTAAACAATACAACTGACAGTTAAAATTTTTCCTACAAACGCACAGTACAACTATTTACTTAAATCCATCAGAACTAAGCGTATGTAGCAAGCTTTACGTTTGTAGTCGTCCTTACTTACGTTTCAAGTACGTTTGAGACGGGCGCGGATGAAGAGGGGTGGTGGGGTATATTAATGTGGGAGCGTTGAAGGGAGGCGCGGGGACGGAGAGCCCGCTTGTCAACAACAGCAACAGGTAACGTTCGTGGATATACAGGGTGATTCTTAACGGACGGATCAACATTTTTTTTGGAGGTAGAGAATCTCAATAGTTATCATTTAAACGCAATGTTTGATGCCCGATTTTCCACAGTTTCAAAGTTATTTAATTTTTTGTAATAAAATCGGAAGAATCAGATTTCAGACTTAAATTTGACCGTACGTCCAAAGTAATTTGTTTACAGTGGTAATTTTTTTTCTTTAATAAGCCTAATAATTAGGCTTCCGTACCGTTATCCCTTTTTTGAATAACTTACAAGAGAAGTAAATAAATAAAAGATTATTGAAAATTTTCTAAAAACAATATTACTTTCTTCAACTTGGAAAGCGGTAATTAATTTTTTTTACACTAACTTTTTTCCTACAAGTTTTTTCAAAAACTGCGCCCATGCCTGTAGAATAAAACAAAAAACAATACTGCTCGCCTTTCATTTGTTTTTCAAGTAAAAAGAACGATTTGAATTAGTCAAGGGCTACAAGCTCTTGTAACTTTCATACAAAGCATACGAAAAATACATTTTTCGTAGAAGTCTAAAAAACAGAATTATTTAAAATCGGGCAACAAACTTTTCGTTTAAATGATAGCTATTGAGGTCTCTACCTCCACAAATTCGTTGATTCGTCCGTTAAGAATCACCCATAAACAAATGTCTCTCGTCAATTTCATGTCTACGTCACTGTTAGTAGTTACTATACTTTTGTCCAAACGTCATTTTTCATAATTTTTTATTTCTATTAAATGCTAGCTGACTTAGGTCATATCTGGAACCTTCGAGCAGTCGACTAGCAAGAGACGGCGCAGGACAGGCGGAGATGGTGACCTCTTATGTTTTAATTAAAACACTTTTTAACTAACGTAGTATTTAACCATGTACCCGACACCAATCTGCCCGCTGTACTCGAGTGGTCCTGTCGCGGTGATCTCAGCAAAGATTAATAAAATTCACTACCTTGCTGACATAACGCTGTCCTTAAAGTTTGCAGGGAACTATATCCTTTATTCTATTAATATAATAATATACTAAAGATATTCTTTAATCTCAGATTAAAGGGTGTCAAGGTTAAATCTATTATAGTTTCTAACAAAATTAGAAACTATTAAAAATAGCACAAATGGTGAATACAATATCGCTTTAATCAGTAAAAGTAATTATAATAAGTAATATTACTTCGAGCAGTATTATATTTACCAATTTAACTACACAGTGACTAAGTATCACGTTCACTGATTCACGTTGTTCAATATAAATAAATGAAGTAGTTAATTCTTTTATAACACGACGCGGTAAAATTCATAGAAAGGTGATGTTAATTCGTACGCTTATCCTAATGAAATGTAAAGACTGCAGACTTGTTAATGTGCACGTATATTAATGTGTACTAACAAAGCGATTGTCAATTAATGCGACTAAATTCATAAATTGTTAATTTGTATTACAAGATTGAAACTGTATAGATGCTCGTTGTTAGTTGTGAGTGCTCGCCTTCTCACATGGGTATAAGTCAACTTGGGCACAAGCCCAATGCGTACGAAACATTTTTTACGTTTCGTTTAGAATTGTATTGTCATGCGATATGCGATATTGCAATCCGCCGTAAAGTGTGCATAGCACTATACATCGTATAGAAAGATACCTGGCGTGCCGGTAGCGCGTCATGACTCGCGTCCACCGCGCCCTCTCCGCCCGGCGGCTTTATCTGGAAACATACTGGTGTCTTTAATCTGAATCTCGAAAACATTTTATAAACCCATTTTTGATGGCGACTAACAAGAAAGCAAATTTAGTAATTGCTCTTCAAATGCATCTTTAATAAACCTTGAGCTCTATGGACAGATGAAAATATAAAAAGCAATCCCCCATCTAACCATTACTTCCTTGTGAAATGCAAATGCAAGTGACCCGACAAGTTTGGCCTGTACTGTACGCACTGCATTTGAGATACTCTTGGGCGATCAGTATCAGTTTATTTTAACCTTTGTTTCCAACAATTTAAATGTACATATCAATAAAATGTTTGCAGAATTACTTTCGAAACGGACACACGAGAAACATTCGATTTCGAGATACAAACGCGTTTTTTTTGTTCATAATTCAGCGCTTGACCACGATCCCACTTGATGTTTAGTGCTGATTTCTTTATGGGTCGGATATCACAAACGTATAAAACTTATCAAATTCTTATGTTTTATTCACAGCTAATTTGAATAATTGAATTAAGGATCTACGTTCCAGAAGATCTTTCGAGGGTTTTACATTTGTATTTTTATATTTTAACCACACCGAAGAATAAAAGTAACTTTTACCTGTCATGTAAAACGTAATGTTTTTTTTTATTTCAGTTTGTTTATGGTAGTTGTTTTTTAAAAGATGCGGTGTAACTGTGACTGTAAACACATATATCTTTTTTATAGTTTTAAAGCATTTGTGTTAAATAATAAATACATTTTACGTCGGTCATCGTCGTAAGATCGTCTATGTTTCAAATCCCCATGTACCAATATGATTTTCTTTTTGAATTTCATATATACATTTACCTAATGTTCTTAGGGTAAAGGAAAGCATCATAATGCAACCTGCACAATAATGCGAAGAAAATCAAGACACGTGTGAAGTAAACACGCAGTTGGCCAGCGTGGTAAACTATAGCCTAGTACTCGTACTTAGGGTAGGCTCTGAACCCACAGTGGACTGAAGTTGTAGATAATTATGATTCTAGCAGAAGTGCTTTGAAAATCGTCGAAATTCGTTCAGTGTCGAGTGTTTATTTATAAACAATCAAATAATTCTTTTTTAAATTATTATATACGCATACGTAAATCAAATATAATCATCACTCGTTGCTAGCTATTAAGTAAATACATAGAAACATTTAAAAATAAACATATTATATCCTCAAGCACCAATAGACAACAGTGTTTTCTTTAGTTTTGGTACATTCGAGAAGGCTTTAATGACCGTCTCGATCTCCAGGGTTATGACACAAGGGTTATCCGATTCCACTAACACAAACTAGTAAACACTATGTCACCGACTCACCTATACCGAGATAAAGGATGTATGTTCACATAAACATTTTAAGTGATTTAAGTTATAAATTATTCGATTGCCAATATTAATTAAGCCACTTATATTGCATCTAATTTCTAATGTTTTTTACTATTTTTAATATTGTTTATTTTTTTCTCTTTGTTCATTGTTTTTCTTTATTCATGCTCTTATAGTGATTATCATGATATTATTTATATTGTCATTTGCGAAAAAAAACATGTCCAGTTTTCTGTTTTTTTTTTTAATAAAAAAAATTCTACGACTGAACGCTTTCGAACTAAATTTTTAACATTACGTAGAACACGAAGTAGGCTACAATACCTTTTATTTCCGAGCGAACGAAGTCGCGGCCGACAGATAGTTTTACATCAAATGTTTAATCAGGTAGAGCACTCGCAGACCAGAGACAAACGGCAAATAGTTTGTATTTTAATTATAGATATAAATTATTTCGGTAGCCATAAAACTATTCCTTGCCACCTACATTCCTAGTAAAGTTTCGATAACTCCTGGTCACTCTAGTATACTGATGAATTCGATTGACCTTGTTTATAAACGAAGTTATAAATTAGAGCAACTGAGAAACCAACTAAATAGTTAGATTTTTCTGGAAAATCTCGTTTACACAGAATATACCCATATATAAAATGGAAATAAAAAACGGTAAATAATGCAAAATTTAGCAGTAACGCTGATATTATATAATCCCAAGTATATAATTATAATAACATTTATTTCTTAGACAAGACTCGAACTTCACAAACGTAGCAATTTTAAATAGCACATATGTCTATATTAAAACGAATCACATTTAAAAGACTATTACGTTTACAATTCACAGCATACATTGATGGCTCTTACGTAGACTACCGTAAACCACAATTTTGCGATTTACACCATATATTACAATACGTATTTTTAATTAATTTATCAAATACTACTTTCAATGTGATTTAATGGTAACGTTAGAAACGTTAATATTTGATACGTCATGAAATGGTATTAATTTTTAAAATTTATCTTTGCAAAATTGTCGTTTCAAACATACGATAGTTTACATAAGAACCATCGAGTTATTATTTACCTTGAGTTATCTCAGCCACGAAAATGGACGTAGATGAAAAAAATCCACGTGGCAAAAAGTTATATCATGATCTCATAGTTTACCAGAATAAAAACATTTCAAACAGAATTTAACATTTAAATACATCTAATAGGATATTTATACGGCAAGCTAGCTAATAGAAGTATCTAGAATGTTTGAATGATAAGAATTTTTATTTTCCAAACATATAGTAAACAGCAATTGAAGTCGAGACAATCATGTACTACTACACCCTATTTATTCGACTTAGACCGGGCGCACATCTTTGACTTAACTAACGTATTACACTTGTGCAATTATCGTTTGATTCGCAGCCAATTCAACTGTTTAGTTGCACAACTATAAAACGAGTAGTGTGCACACCTCCGTATAAGCTCATAGAAATCAAAACATGACTAAACGTGTGCGACAACTTAGTTTCAGGTGTCCGCACGCTCTTAAAGTAAACAATCGGTAATCATTTTTTAAATTGACATGCTTTTTAATTTATTTTAATCTAGAATTCCAAGTAGGAATTTATTCTTTGAAATATCGATGACCTTGGTAACTGGTCAGTTAATAAAATAATCGTATTTATAAAAAAATTGCACAGTATCGGTGTTTCATTATAGCATCGTTATTTATTAGTAGACCTATGTTTCATTACGAGCATGCGCACACTTGAAATTAAAATACCGCACAATAGTTGTGCGATAGTTCAGTCAAAAATGTATTTATAAGATAAGGTAAATTTGACATATGAATCTACGGAAAACATTACCGTCGTATCGTACAAAAAGGCAAAGCATTAAGATTTCTCTGTTTCAGACCGCAGACATTCAATAGTATTCAATGATTGGATTGGATGTCATTCGATCTACGTTCGTTACGGGCGATTATATTCGTTAACCGGGGGACGGCGGAGTTAACGAGCAGTTTCAAAATAGCTAGAGTCGGGATTAGTACAATAGACGTAACACGTGGTATATTTGAATTCACATGCCGATACTAAACATAGTATAATCTTTTAGATTTGAGTTATAATCACAAAGCAATTTTTGTTTTTATCGTATTTGGAACCTGTTTATGTTAGCAACTGTACTGTACTACATTTAGAAATAAATCCATCTATTTTTTTCCGGACACACTTCACTAAAATGTTAAACAAGTCCGAATCTTTTGTTTTGTAGTGTTCGTTAGTTGCCGTAAAATAATCGTTTCGCTGGAGCGAGAAAACGACATTAAAATCTATTAACAATTCGATGACGAAAACCTGTTACGCCGACCCTACGGGAGTAGCATAAGGAGAAAGATGGAAAGGAAGAAGACTTCAATTTGGAAAATGCAATATCGTACAAAATGATGAAATTCATTGCGGATAGTTGCGCAGGGTCGGCGCACCGGGATTTCGTCCTCCTAATAACTCTACCACCCGTCATTTCAGTCATCACACTTGATCGTTACCTTTCACGCAATTAGTCTTTTTCTGGGTCTACCTCTACCAGTATTGTTCTTTTAAAATACGGCTCTCTTATGTATTGTCTTGCCACAGTATTGCGATTTCTATGCAGTATTTTTGCTTCTAAATTACTAAGTAACTAGTATACATTATTGTGCAAATACGGGTGCGAACATATTACACTGCGAATCGACTACAAAAACGCGTCATTATCTGGCACTATGGACATATAATTCGTTACGTTGGTTCAGATGTTTTAATAATATAAAAATATCTATGACAAAAAAATATATAGAGCTCAAATTCTGAATAGAAGATATGAAAGCAATATTACTATATAAAAATATAACGATTGGAATACCCTTCTCAACTATAGTACAATTGAGCGTAACTTTTTTAATATGGACACAGAGAGGGGCACTTATTGAATTCAAGATTGGGCATTCACAATGATGTCAAGTTCGATGTTAAGTGGTATATTGTCAACTAATATATTGTAATGGATCAAGGATCTTTGACCTCACGTACAAAGTTCTCTAGATACCGTCATGTTGTATAATGGATGAAACCACACTAAGGTAGCCCTGAGTGTAGAGATCTAGACAAAAGAGCTACTTTAACTGCTTAGACAGTCTTTAGTGAATAGCATAGTAGTTTTAATAGTTTACTTTTAATAAAAATATTTGTTTATAAATTATATTTCAGTTTTAACCAATGGGAAGCCACTTTTAAAAATGAAAACATGAAATTAAAACTATAATTTGAGCAAATGAATACCATTAAGAGGAAGAAAGAAGAGGGGAAATGTACTTATTTCCTAAGAGAATAAGATAACAATTTATAAAAAAACAATATCAACTTGTATAAAAGTCCAAACTACAAATGTTTTTTATCATAGAAATAAATTATTTTTTATTTTTCAAGCATTAAAGGGTAAAATAGTGAAAAGAAGAGTTGCACTAAAAGTGTTTTTTCCTTATCCATAAAAGTTTTAAGGGAGTTTAAAAAACCTGTGATTGCCACCCCTAATTAGTTCCACCGTGCCATATAATATAGCCTGTGATGAAAAATATTGTTTTTAGTTGGTAAATAGATATAAACACAAGAAAAAACAACAGTGGTGGGTACATTGAAGTTACCAGCCTGTTTGTATTACTGACATAAAAAAATGATTGCCTAGGTATCTCGCTGAAAAAAATACCAAGAAAAAAGTTCTTAGATATAACTCTATCCTTGAAGAATTAAATAAAAATCAAGTAATAAATATAACCTATGTCACTCAATGGTAGTATGACTTTCTAATGCTGAAAGATTTTTTGAAATCAGACCAGTACTTGCCGAGTTTACTCATTACATACAAACATAAAAATTTTCTTTTTATAATATTAAAGTTTCAACAAACAAATAGTATCTTTGTTTTATATAACATTATAGTAAAGAAAGATATGTAACAAACCACTATAATATATCCAATCCAATATATAAAATTAAATAATAAACTTTTATTCTCAGTACAAATCAGTAAACAACACAATATGTGTGTGTAACATACATGTCAGCACACCTAGATGTAAACATCTATCAGGTAACTTAAAACAGGTTTTCTATTTTATTGCTTAATCGCATTAAAATCCCACATCCCAGAAAATAGCATGCAATTCAAACAATCTACAAACTTTGAATATATGTATTCAAAGTTTTTTGTATTCAAACGTCATGATGATTTAGTCATACTTACAGCCCACACTGTGATGTGCTGGGTTGGTGCAGAGATTCTTCCATTCTTGGTTGAAACGCATGGAAACTTCAAGAAGAAGAACTATTCCTAAAGAGAACTCTGACTGTTCCCTGTCCGCTATACACAAAGTACTAGTAACAAACTTTAAACGCTATCACTTAACAAAAATAACAAATCACGGAAAAAGTTTCACGAGAAACATATATTTATTAAACACTCCGTGTTTATTACACAGATGACTGCGTTGACAGTTGTAGAAACTTATGTCATAATCTCAATGTCAAAACATATGTCTTAAAACTAAAAGTTGGTAACATTACACAATTTGCAAAGTTATGTCATTGGATAACTTTTTCTTTCGTAACTTTGAGAGTTTTTAAAAAACTTTCTAACAAACTTCGAAATCAGTAGTAATTTCTTTTTAAAACTTGTACTATGTTTACAAATTGCGATTCATGACTTTTGAAAAGAAGTTGGTTAAAAACTTCTTAGCACGTTGACATTGACAGTTGGTGACTTGACAATAGTTGACGTGTCTCAACTAGCGTAAATTTCCACTGTCGTAATACCTGTACAATAACATACTATTATCATACTTCTCTTTCTTTTTGACCAAAATAACAGGGATAGCAATATAGTATACGTTTTAGTATGGATGTGACGGCATTGAAAACTTATGCGATAGGCTCACATCATGAATGTATATTACTAGAACAAGATAGAGCTCTTGTCGAAAAATTGAAGCCGAGCGAGATCTCAATAACTGTACCATTTTCCTCTCTCCGGCTATAGCGACCATATTGAAATATGATTTTAGGACAATAATTATAAAAACATATTCGTGACCTGACGTCAACAGATCATTGCTTTATATGGATTTTAAACAAAGGTGTTAATGATAAGCTTGCGTTATGCGGCACTATACATTTTCCGTTTTTGCTTGATTTTCACACACGCGCCATATTCTACTTACCTCCGTGAAGTTGACCCCACACACTCTCTTTTTTTTTTACTTATTTTATGCAAATCGTTTAAGCAGTGATTGAGAGGAAAGAAATATCGTTTGGGAGTTTTTACTTTTTCTGTAAAAAATATTTGAATTTGATAATCGAGTAAAATTTGATTGATGATTCTCTCAATCATTCCCAGGATTTACAGGATTGGATTGTCATGCATGGTCACCGTAATTCTTCACTAACAAATTATGTTTAAAAATACTACCAATACAATATAAAGATAAACCACAATCAGGATAATTCTCCCTTCCACAAGCCTCCACGACACAAGTTCTCACCATTTTATCAAGGAAATTTTAAAAATATCACGGATTTCAAAAACGCCGCCATTGAAGTCCAATTCGGCGATGCCATGCGGTGTTGTCAGTTCAGTTGTTCGAATTTCAAACAAATAAAAAAAAAACCTGTACGCCAATCACAATTTTTTTGCGTAAATTTAATTTTACATGTAGCAACAAATAATATTGCTTTAACATGTCGGTAAAAAATTATTATTAATATTTAGGAAGAGTTTGAAAGTAAATGTTTTTACATTACATTAATTGCCTATTTTTCTACAAATAACGAAAGGATTGACATCTGGCAACTCTAGTTTCGCTGTTAGAAAGGGACATATCGGACACTTTTAGCCTTCTCACTCGGGTTCATTGCGTGCAATAAGACTCTTACGCCCTTAGAATGTTTAATTTAATTTATTTTATCTGCAAGATGTACAGATAGAAAACCCTCCTGTTGTACTTAGTACTTATTAAGTCCATGGCCTACATATTTCTATTTAGATTGATTCTAGTAGACCTTTCGCTTCGTACAATATAAATGAATGTTTTTTATAGTTTGCCGCCTAAAGTGCTGTACGGATCTCGATGAAAATTTTGCACAAATGTAGAATAGTGCAAAAGAATACATAGGGCATTATATTATTACCATAATAATTTTCTCATGGAAGGGCGTGTTTTTTTTAAGATTATCATGGTTGTTGATGTTAATTTACAGAACTGAAATGATTATAAATTGAGTGTTTACAATAATGGATTTAAATAAAAGTCCGAGGCAAATTCTAATAATTTAATGCATATTTTGGCATTTCATTAGTGACCTAATGCAGTGGATACTTCGATAAACATTCCATATACACTTCATAAAAATAAGATTAACTTAAAAATAAAACACATTTCATTGTTGTACAGAATTCATACAAACAAGAATAATAAAATTAAAATAAAAATTATTTTACACAGTACATTTTGTTAGGCCAACATTTTAGGTCATTCGGTTTAAATTCTATATTTTTGTAGCATTCTTAAAATAAAAAAATAAGAAATAATACGATATCCTGATCGATGTTGAGAATTCTTTTCTCTCAAGGTAAATATTTAAATGGAATGAAACAATTTCAGTCATAGATAATAACAAATTTAAATAAAAAAATGGCATTACTGATGTTATATATTTCATGCAGTTAAGCGTACTAAAGAGCTCTTTCCATTTTCTTATTTATACTCCTAAAATTGAAATTTTACCAAAGAATTTTAAATTTTTATCATCAAATTTATATACAATTTCATAAACGCTTACATCCTCAGATACTGCTTTCGTTTCTATTTAATAACGTTTTTATTACATTTTATCTAGTATTATTTTATGATCAGTTACGACAAAACTTTGCCAATCGAAGAATATTCGAGAATTACATTGGTTTTTAAAATGTAATTTTACAATTTCTTCAGAAGAAACAATATTTCTAAGATCATTCGAATTTTTTCATAAGATATTTAAAATTCTCCTTATACCTAGTGGTCATAAACTTGAAATTGTCAAGACTAAAAATCCAGTTTTAAAATTATCTGTAATTTAAAAAATCGGTAATTGACAACAATTATGGACGTATTCAGACTAAAGCAATTTATTTTAAACATGTAATTAGTTTTGGAAAAAAGTTGTATTTTCGAAATTTGCCGTTCAATGTAAACACAACCTAATTACGATTATAATAAATATCATATTTACATGTATCTTGTCATTTTCAAGTCCATGCCTGTCATTCTATGACACTCCAAACCACTTCTAGTACGCTTATTAAAAATATTAATATTTAAAAATTGAAAAATCAGTGAAATAACGTTTATTTTTTTAAACTAGAAAAATATGCACCTTTATATGCTATTGGGTATACAACTGCGTGTTTGTTTAAATAGAATTTGTTATTTTATCTGAATATCAGCCTTAAAATAAACTTAATCTAAACTTGTAAATTATTATTAGTACATGAAAATAATTAAATTAAACATGATTCACAGAATTCGTTGATTTTTAAATCAATTCAAGTCTTTTATACAGTCGTGTGTTGTGCGAAAACTGACAGAAGATCTGAAATGTTTTATTTAAAAAAATATAAATAATAATTGTACCTTCATAACCAATATTCCATAGAAAAATACATTATACTGATTTGACTAGTTTAAATGGTACAGTAAAAAATAGAAAACGAACAAGATTTTTTCTTGTAATAGCGGACTAATTGTAAATAATTTATAATTAAGATGTATATTTTTAAAGGTGGGTAATGAATTTACGGGAATCTGCTATTGGAGACTGCTAACCGTCAAACCTCTGTATAACATCTTGTTATCTCTGTCATACATAAGGGAGTAACAGAGATAGCATGTTATACAAGTCTTGACAGTGGAATCTCAACTTAAAAGCTGATACAAAGATAACAAAATCTCCATACATTGATGTTATAAGATAGATTTTTCAATTATGTTTAAGTCAAAATGTTAATACAATGACTTGTTACAGGATTTTTTTTTAAATAATATAAAAATCAAGAAAAACCTTTCTTTACTCTTCAATCTTTCAGATGGTTAACCAGCATTCATTTAGGGCATTACGAAATGATCAAGTATACATCAAATCTATCTAAAAGCCTGACAAAATTATGATGTCAATCATCAAGTTATAACAATTTGTATACACATTTGCGTTGTATCTGTAATCAAAGGATTAAAGCGCGGAACGTTTCTTGAGATCTTGTTTCGTTATTTTTCAAAGGTGACAGAGAAATATGTAGTGTAAATTTGTATTTAATGTTGATAAAAATTTAGTTCGAGGTAATATTGAAGCAGGGATTTCTATAGGGTGTTCCCGCAATGAGCCTCGCTTGCAAGAACCCTACTTGGTTCATCTAAATCTAAAAAGCTTGTAACTCGGCTCTTGCGGGTCGTAAACAATCGTTTACTTCTTCGAGCCGGACTCGCCTTTGGATCGGTTCGTCACCGGTATCTGAAATAGTTAAAAAAAAATCATAAATTTATTGTTATTTTAAAGGAAATTATCAACATATATCAACACATTTAAATTCCTTAAAAGTTAAAATGGAATTTTCGCAAACTTTCAGACTGAAAGTGGATAAAACTAGAAAATTTGTCAAATTATTTTATAGACAGTATCTGTAATATTCTGTTACGATATTAGTTTTCCAGAATTTGTTTACAAGTAAAATTTTGAAAGTAACAATTTTTGTTTTGCCCATCACATAGCATATAAACATCTCACTAATTCTCCTAGAAGAGAATTATTTATAATTGACAAAACAATTCGCACATTTCTGAAAAGTCTACGTTCGCAATCTGTAACACAAAGCTTGTAACACACAATGTTCATATAAATGAATAGTTGAACAATTAAAGACAAGATTAATAATTCATTTTGTAAAAAAATGTTAAATATAGTGATACTAGCTGTACCTCGCTTAGCGGCATTTTTCTATACATTGGTAGGGGTTATAATTAAATGTTATAACATACCTTAATAAGTAGGTAACCTTTAAATCCGATTTGTAAATTTTTAGTGAGCGCGTCAAACTTCAGAACGTCATTATATTAGTACAGATTATCAATAAACGGTTAGTACGGTTTATTAATTTATTGTTAGTGTTAGTACAAATGTACAAACATGTTTTGATTTACCGAAGCACGTTGGTCCTCCATACGACCTGATTGTGCGCGCATGATCAAGGAGAAAAAGTCCTCGTCAGGGACAGTCTTGGCTTTTTCGGGCTTCGCCTCGGGTTTTACCTCGGGCGCTGCCTCGGGCTTCGCCTCGGGTTTTACCTCTGGCTTTACCTCGGGCTTCGGCTCGGCGGGATGCGGCGCCGGCTCGGGCTCCGGCTGGCGACGCGGCAGCTCTGTTCTCTGGTCCTCGAGACGAGAGCCCTAGCAGTAAATCAGGTTTTTATTATTTTTAATTTTTGGTTAATTATTAAAAACTTATTTGCTGCTGCAAAATTCCATCAAATTAACATAAAAACATTTCTTTTTAGCTTCCCTGTGAGCTATTCGCGGAGTTATCGAGTATCTAATTTGGTTCTTACTACATTTTAAATGAGTACATTCTCATCGATACATAATTATTTACCTGGAAGCGGGCGATCATTTCGAGGAAATCGTCCTCGGGCTTCATGCTGGTGGTCAGCTGGGGGCGCAGGCCCGGCAGCGAGGCGCCCTTGTTCTCCTTAGCAGGACTCTTCGGTAGCGGGCGTAGCTCCGCGCGCTGAGAGTCCATCCTTTCTGACTGCATGTCGGTTATCAATGCCAATAATTCTTCGTCGGGGCTGTGGAGGTATATATTGCAGTATCAGCAATTGTATGAAAATTTCAGTAAATTCTTGCCTATCTATTAATGAGATACATTGGCGGTAAGGAGGACTCTTTATTAGATCGCCGATAGTATTGAAATAAACCTTGGAATTTATTTTCGAAGAAAACTAAGTTATTTCGAAAGCGACATTCTTTGAAGTCAAAGGATAATAAACTAGAACTTGAAATTCTACGAAAGGTTCTTTATGCTGGAATTCGAAAACATGTTTTCTGGAAAATCTTATAAAGGAAAACCTGGGAGTGAAGCTCGGCTCCGATAATAATTTACGTAGAATTTATTTTAATGTTGTTATATCATTTAAAACAAATCTACGTGTTTTGGCTTTCATTGTAGCTATTAAATGAAAATACCTAAAGTTACGTACCTTTTACAATACTATCGATATGCATTTACAGGAACGCATTCGTCAGACGCAATAAAACATTATTTATAGCACAAACATTATATCGACCTTGGTCAATAATGGTTACCAAAACATATAAAAAAATATCAATTGTGTCTTTGCGTATGAAAAGATTTTTTTTGTAACTAATACGGAATTATTCAGTTAAACCTTTATTCAATAACAACAGTTTTATCTATGATTCTTATTAAAAATATATGATTTTGCTTTTTATTTCAAAAATTTAATAAAACGTCGAAAGACACTCAAGCATTAGCTATGTTTAATTTAATCGATTTCCTTTATTTATGACAATCTAAATTTCTCGAAATTATTATAATATGTTTCTCATGATCAATGAAAAATATTATTCTAATTCACATTGTATTTTGAATTTAATTGTATTGTTTTTAAATTAGGATTACATAAAGTGATAGATAGAAACAAGATTTTAATGTAATGTTATGTTTTAATTTAAAAATAAAAAAATAGAGATACACCCGTTCCCCAGGTCCCTGACTAAAACGTGTTAGGTGACCAAGAGGGCGGCATGAAGCTGTCTTAAAAAAAAACGAAAAATAATAACTTATCAATAATATAATAGTATACCAGTAATATGGTACCACTTTATTATTTCCGATCACAAAAAACTTCAATAAAACTAACACAAAAATTTGCGATAAAGTATCAATACGATTTCTGGGAATTTTTCGTGATATGTCCTCAATTCTTTGCAATATTTGTCAATGAATAGACATTAATAAATTAATTAAAATTTCTTGATAAACCTTTAATACCAAAACCTCTAACTATGTTTATCAATAAAATAGAAAAAGAAACTATAATATCTATGAGTATAATTAGATAAATATCATCTACCGTGTAAATTTATAATTTTTTTAACCTTAAAATAAAACAATTATATAAAAAATAATGCAATAAATAAAATAAATATACAGACGGTATTTTTTCGCCCTTCGAACTCATTTCTGTTCGCACACTAACACTTTGAACTAAACAATGAGTGCGTTTGATCAGCGCCGGGTTTGAAACTGCAAAAGGGATTTTATGCGCAACAACGCGTCGACACCGTGTTCACTTTGTTACAAAGGCCTGTCCACAACAGATGCGTAAAAATGAAAACAACCAAAATAACGTGGAAAGAACAATTTAATTTAGCTAAATCCGACATACCCTTTTATGGTAAAGAGTTAGATAATTAAATTAAAAACTGTGCAGTTGCAGATGACAACACTTTACATAAGTTTTGCCAATTCAAACAATTTATGAAAGCAAACACGTAAAAATTATATAAGTATAGATAAATAGATATTATACTATACGAGAGAACGATATACGATAGATAAGTTTTTATTGTACTACACAAGAGTAGCAATATATTAACGTATTTGCACAAAACCTGAAATAAGACTGACTCACGTATTTGGTGAAAACCAGTCCAGTACATCATGAATTTATAACGTACAAATGTGTAGTGTAGTGAATAAGACAACTTATAATTTTAGCTGGATATAGGTTACTGTATCGATTAAAATGTTTAATAATTTAAAGCACTGCAATGCACATTCGCCACACCATATGAGGTGTTACTAATATTCTGAAGAGAAAACTTTGTTGTATTAGGTTCATTTAAAAACGAATAGGCCGAATTTAAGGTTCTGTAGTCAATCAAATATTCAATATGCTTACAATATCCACCTAAGGAAGATATATCGATACTGTAAATGTGGTTTTGACAGGAAAATTAAATCTCGGATCTCTGGAACAGCACTCAAAGTTTTACGCAACAAGTTAAAGGAACTTGTTAAACATTGATTTTACATATTCACTCGATATCTCACTAATTCATCGGTTCAAATAATTTTGTTCCAATATTTGCTGCAAAATTAGTTACTCGTACACGGAAGTTTCAGTTTGTTAGAGTTTGAAAATTAAATTAGGTATACTGAAATTAGTTCATAGTTTATCATGTAAAATTTATTAGTGTTTTGCTTTAGTTCGTAATAAATTAATTTAATACATTAAAAGTTTTCTCGAGTTGCCTCAACAAATTATAAAAACTAATGAAGTAAAAATTATGGGACATATTTAAAATCTGCCATTAGAAAGCTACGTAATCACTAAGCATCATTCATTTTTTTAATTTCTGCACGAACGACGACGCGGACAAAAGCTAGTAGACAATAAAGTTCGTGTCGGGCGAAACACTGCGTTGTGTAGTTGGAAACCTTTCTGTGTTCGGATGTAAATCTCGAGTGTTGACGACTACGTCACGATAGCGATATCGCACCTGTCACGCGCACCTTATATCTGATAACTCTGAGTTTCCACTGCTGATACACGTGTATAAAACATGTTGCTATCTCAGTTTATTTAAGGGGGGATTAGAGGGTCGCCAGTATGTGTTTGGGTGTCTCATCAGCGAAATCAATGGTAATATCGACGCGAACGTATTCTCTTTCAGACTTCACCAACGTTAGTGGTTTTTTTTTTAATTTAAATATTATACTTAAAATTGATTATTTGTCTGTGTGTTTATTTGCAAAGTGAGTAAACTGAATAGATTTGTAAATATATAAAAAACGTATGGAGCAAAATTGGACAAAAAAACTCTGCGAGTCGACTAACGACAAAAGTAGGTCGTTGTGTTGGTTGTGCGTGACGTCTTGTTATTGCTTACCTCCTGTTCTTGTCGTCGGTGCTCGCGGAGCGCACCAGCTTGTCTTGAAGCGTAGCGCGCTGCCCGTCCATCCGCTTCGCCTGACAGCGGCTCACCATCTCGAAGAAGGACTCCGACGTTTTATCCTCAGACCCTGCCATCGCTACTTTACCCCGTTTCGAACCCTCCTCCCCTTCTCCATCATTCCTCTTTGTATCAGGCGTCAACTGAATTTCGATAGGAACGTTGACTTTACATCCCCCAAGAAATACTAAGGCTAACTTTCTAGGACCAAGTTAAAGGCTAAGATAGTCCTCCTATACAGTGCTTATAAATTTACGTTTACAAATGAACACGTTTTAATTAGTATATTCCTAGGGGATTAGGATAAAATATAAAGTAAAATAGATATAAAATGTGAAAGTCTGTAAAAAAAAAGGGATTAAGGAAATGCTTAAATTGACCCAAGGGATTAAACAAAATTCGAAAACACAAAGTGTATTGATTGAAAATTAAAAAAAAATGAACAAAAAAAGGGTTCATAAATATGATAGTTACTTGGATCAACGCCAGTTGTTCCATGCTTTGTCGTCTGACACGGAGAGCATTGAAGATGCCGCTTATTTTGCCTTCCTTCGGGGTGGTAGGCGCGGGTGGGGTAGCCCGCAGCGGCATCACACACTTGACCTACCTCTTCCACCTCGGGGCTCTCATCAGGCATGCCCAGCACCTTCTTCAGATCACCAACATTCATTTGCGCAGTCGCCATTCCCAAAATATCACCCAACTATTGAAAAAAAAAAGAAATATATATATTTGACATTGTGTCGTTTAACATAACTAAATTTTATCAAATGATTATTCATTGACACATAATCTTCTTAGTCACAATGTGCTTTTTAGTTAGTCAATCTTACTTTAAACGTTTTCGTATTCTAAAAATTTGCGCAATATATGATCTTTCGCATTATCATCTGCGGAATTGGACAGAGGCAATTGATTTGCTAATATAGTTAAAAATAGTCATATAAAAATTGCTTCGAACAACCTCAAAACAAGAACCACTAAAATAGGAACCCGTGTTTGCCAAATAAAATTCCCGGCTTGTGAACACGCCTACCACAGTGTGATTCACGAAATGAAATAAAGGGTTGAAGCTACCGCCACAAATCAAAGTAAACTGTCTTCATTATCCAATCGAAATGGTAATATAAAAATTTACAAGACCCCTTAACTCACAGTCAAGGCAATTTGGTAAAATGTCAACGCTGTTTGTTTAATAGACGTACACGAAATGTCAGAGTAATTTTAAATGCATGTACATATCGACTGCTGCAACATAGGACTCCACTGCCGCGACAACTACATTAAAATACATTGCCATCCCTCTCAAACATATATACAGACAGAGACAAGAATATGTACCAACAAAACTGCCACGACCGTGGAATTCCACGGTAACTTATTGATACTAATAATACGCCTGACGATTCCTGAATCGGTTGCAATTACCCTGCCTTACTGTAAAAGAAAATCCTTTGAAAGGAATGTTGTAATGATTTCTAAATTATTTATACATTATACGGAAGGGCTATTGCATTAATTTTAGAAAATTAGCTTTAAATGTACATATGTTATAGAGTTCTATAAATGTATTAAATCAGAAAACATTTGCTTTTCGTAACGAATTTCTTTTAATTTTTTTTTTCATTTATTTGGGTAAAAGAACAATAGCACAAGAAAAAAAAATATACAGTACAATTCAAAAGTGTTGAGTAGATGTGCCATCCACAACTTTACCACATAGTAACTACAATAATAAAATAAATCTATAGATAGGCTAAACATCCGAGTGGTACTTAATGATATATTAATATTATTGATAGTTCAAAGTTTTAATAATCTCTATTTTAAGGTTATTTTTAGTTACATGTATGATATCTATATCCTTAAAATTGGTATTATAAGAATTAACAATTCGATTAAGTGGTGACCGCAAGCCCGCATTAGTTCGGGACCAGTTTGTTGAAAAAAGTTTTGAAACATTTCTGGGATGAGCCCTTGTGGGGACTCTGTACGATATTCTTCTGGTTAAACAGATGCAGTCGTACCTATTATGGCACAGATCGTGGAGTAGCACCGCTTCATGTTGAAGTCGTCTAGATTTGAGACTTAGTAATTTAAATTTAGCTAGGAGGCCTTGATACGATAAGTATGTATGAAAACATCTATAGTTTAGGCAACGAAGATATTTTTCTTGTACAGCTTCTATTGATTTTATATATTTATTATAGAAAGGATTCCAAATAGGCACAGCATATTCGAGTTGCGAACGAACTAGGGTTTTATACAAATAGAGGTAAGTGGTTGGATTTTTAAATTCTGCACAATCAATTACTCTTGATTAGTTGGAAAAAAGTTTTAGTACTGTTAGTTACAAAACCTCTCAAGTTGGTTCGTTCATTTATAATAATAATTTTAATAAAATCAAAATCAAATTTAAGCAACAATATAATCCGAGTTCCAGTTAAGTCAACAAAAAAATAGGCCGCAAACACGAATACAGCTTCTGCTCGGGCAAACGCATTAAAAATTCACATTTCTAGACGTTTCCGTTTCAATACAAACTGTTTCTTCTAATCAACGATCTCTTTTGTAAGGAAACTAATCTATTTACTTGATTAATTATCCGACTTAAATTATATTTACTAATGCATATAAATTCAAATCGCGAATCGGCAATGAAATCTTACGTTAAGAATTGATAAAGCTTAAAGTAAATATAAACGCGAACCTAAACATTCATAGGTAAAATAGAAATGTGATCGATTATCGAAGATATTTGAATCATGGCGGAATCGCATTAATTACAAATTTCCGTGCAAACCGCTAATTTCGGGGGAATACTCGATTGAACACCTCAATGCTCTCGTCAAACAGATATTCCAATTAATTCTAGAAACTTAATTAAACCGATGCTATAATTCCAATTATGAACTATCACAGCTCAATAACTTTAAACTGTTTTTAATATTATACTATATCTTACTATCTTGCTAAATTATAAATGCGAAAATGTGGGTGGATGTTTATTAGAGTTTGTAGCATAAACGGCTCTAAGGATTTCGATGAATTTTGTCGTTGATGTAAAATGTAGTCCGGAAGAACAGCTAGGCTAACTTATTTTTGTTATTTTAATTACATCGGAGTGTGGGCGACAGCTAGTCCATACAAATTACAACGTCCGATTTATTAAAAAGAAATGTAATATGACCATCACGGGATTAAAAGCAGTTAGTATATGTTTAGAAAAAAATCAATATGATAAATTCAAAAGTATCGCAATTATATCCTAGCCACAAATAAAAATTGGCCTGATGACGCTTAAATCGGCTTCTCTATTATATCAAATTCTAGTTTACGCAAAGAAATCAGTTTCATATTTAGTTAAAATATGGCGAAGGGTTTTATAAATCTAATAATCTTGTACTCGTAGTTGGCGTATGTTTACTGACAAAGTCGTCTAGTTTTTTGAGTTGCTCTGCATCCGATATAAAAATGACTTGCTAGAAACAGTTTTAATTCATTTATTTATTGTCAATTGTTCGACATCGCTCCCAAAGATTACTAGCAACACCAAAAGAGTCCATTTCATTAACTTACCTTGATAAAACTCATTAGACTTGTATAAGTCAAGCACACATGACCAATGTACAAACTAAACAGCTTGCTATAAGTACAGTAGCGGCAATCCGCGGTGTTCCACATTTAAAAAGTTTGCCCTGTTCTTGAAAATAAAACAATAAAAACCATTTAGCCGTGTACCATTGACTAATATGGTTATTGTTCGCATCTCAATGAGTACACAACGTTTAAAGGAAGAATCTTAAAGGTGAACCACGGACAGATTCCCCGACTGTACTTAGCAATGACGATAATCTGTAATATAGCAAAATAACTTTTTCCTGTTACAAGATCTAACTCTATCAATATTTATTACTATTGAATACAGATTATCGTCTTGCAATATCGTGAAAGCAAACATTGAGACACAAAAAGCATCAACCAGATATATTGCATGCATGCTTAAAGTATCGGTCTAATACCGTATCTATAAATATTTAAATTTAAAAAAAAAAATTAAAACCTTTCAGTTAATTTGATCTGATATTCCGATTCAATTATTTTGTTATGTTCAGTAAAGCTGAGTATTTTTATGACTAAATTATAACACGCAAATATTGAAAATGTTATGATCGCGTACTGTTCTGGAAACATGCATCAATTGCCCGTAGCAAATGTAAACACATACCTGTTGTATTAGTTCATATCCCGAAACCGAAGTTAGCATAGCAACATGATAATGTTAATTTTGAATGATGCTAAATGCAACCGATAAACCCTATACAAACCTCTTTAGATATATTGTAATGTTCTTTAGCGTAATACAAAGCTTTTTCGTGATTTCCGAGCGCGGCGTGAGCGTTGCCTAAGGACCAACAAGCTCTGCCCTCGCCGACTCTGTCTTGTAGTTTTCTAGCGGCCGCAAGATGGCGCGCGTGGTAACCTTCTGCTATTCTGTACTCTCGTAGTAATGTGTACGTGTTGCCTAAAGAGTAACAAGCCTGCGCCTCCACTGCTGCATCGCCCAGCTCCTCGGCAAGAGCCAGGGTACGCCTGTTGAAGAATTGAAAAAATTGAAGCGTATTTAATTATCCACACAATAATGGTGGACAATGGTGGGAGGCGCTGCTATCGCTGTCAGAAAATTAAAAACCTACATAGGCATAAAACAAGAAAAACAAAATAAAATTACATAAAAAGACATTACGAACAGTATCTTATGACACTTTTTTGACATTGACAAGGGGGCGCTAGTGAGCTGTCATAATTTAGTTCGTCTCATTCCCACCGGGTCAGGCAACTTTGTCTAAGGATGTGGGTAGATTTATAATTGACAGTCTATGTATTTGACCTGTGTCACACAAGATACTTTCCGTAGTGAGTAACGCGCAGCAAAAACTACCGTATTAACGAGCTATCGATTGTTTGCCGATCGGCTCAACAGAAAACATCCGAATGTCAATAGTTTATACATAAACTTTTTAAATACAACAGCCATTTGAAGAATCAATCAACAGTAGTTTACTAACAAATGGCAGGGTCTTGTAAAAGTTTTAGTAGTCGAGCGCCCAGCATAATAGTACCTCGTCAGTCAAATCAATTAAACATTCAGAATGTGTTCTTGTTAACTATCGATCAGCGTGTTAACGATAAGTAAGGTTGTGTGAAAACGTTTCGTTTACACGTTTCCTAGAATAACATAACCAACACTTTAATGGCCTTTTTTATATAATAAATTATGCCGTAACAGTTTTCAAGCAGGAAATATTGTATGATGTTCACAAAGACACGGGCACAGTACGTAATTGTTGGATATTAAAGTACTATAAAAGTATAGAAGTGTTTCGCTCGCCTTTTCTGTAATAAATTAGACGTAAAATAGTATAGTCTATTCCGCCATAGCGCTGGCAATAAGAACAAACAACGTTAAAAGCAAATTTAAATACATTTCGCGCTTGGAATTATTATAATGTTGTGTTAGCCTGTAAGTGTATCCATGATATTGTGTTTTAGTTATAATTACTTTTCTTCATCATACAGAACTTATTTCATGTGGTACGTTGACTTCCTATTGTAAATAAATAAATAAATAAATACATCTAACTTCTAACTAATAAATGCAAAAGTTTAGATGGATGAATGGATGTTTCTTAAAGTTTACAGTCTAAACTGCTGAGCGGAACTCAATGAAATTTGGCAAAGAAGTAGTGAATAATCTGGAAGATCACATAGGCTTCTTACTTTTCTTTTTTATTTTTAATTCCACGCGGACGGTGCTTGGTCGAAAGCTAATTAAACATAAAGTAATTTATTGGCACGTTATCGTACAATAGTATAAGATAACATCAGTTCCCGAATGAGATCAATGCCTAAAAGCACGACCTCACAGAACTCATTGATGAAGCTGATGATTCTGCGTTGATAAAATAAATCACCAGCACAGTACGAAATAAAAATAAGCAATAACTTGGATATAAATATCAACCTGAACCTGAAAATGATAACCTGGACGAATTAGAAAATATTTCAGTTCATAACATCAATAAAACTATGAAAATCATATGGCGGGATACCTTTTTATTGAAGATTAAATTTCATAGCACAATAGGCGAATAACTCGCGTAGCATCGACGCAGCAACGAAGGTATTCTTATTAAGTTAACTTAAACGTCTTTAAAGACGAGAAATGTTTTATGGGACTAATAAATATATTCTGCATTGAACAATGAAAGCATCATAAAACATTCTTTAACGTAATTTTAAATCTAGGCAGTCTCTAAAAATAAGATGATTAAAAAACAATTAATTCAATACAATTAGGGTACATTTGGGTTTGGTACCAAATCTACTACGAATTAGTTTAACACTACTAGTCGACAGTACCGAATGGCAGTTTCGACCGGTACATTACTATAATGACATTAAACAAATGCGTCAAGAGGTACTGTACAACCAGAGTTTCGTGTGTGTGCACCCTATGGTACCAAAGTAAAGATGAAAAAGAAAAGGGAAACTGAACTTGGTATTGTAGGAAATGAATAATAATAATAGAAAAGAGAAATTCATGCTAATAACTTACTTATAATGCTCCGCCGCATTTTCAAATTGTCCCAGGAATATATGACTGTTGCCGAGGTTGCTATTAGCTCTGCGCTCTGCCGCCCTGTCCCCCACTTCTCTCGCTATAGTTAGCCTCTCTGTGTGATATCGGATGGCTCGCGTGAAGTCCCCCAGTAAATAACACGTATTGCCGAGGTTACCGCAAGCGCGACCCATCGCTTGTCGGTCGCCTAAACTACGCATTAGATCGAGATTTTCTCTGAAACAAAAGTTATATTAATAGAAAACATTGAAACAAATTATGAACCATGTAAATTCGTTCAAATTGAAGGTAAAAAAATTATTGCATAGGGGAAAAAGCATGGGAATAACTGATGTGTTTGGTTAGCCTTTACATTGTAGACAATATCTACAATGTCGTGTCGAACGACATTCTAAAAGTGTATCACACTGCAAAACTCACTTTAGATTATTCTAAGAGCTCTTCTGCGGGATTTAATATGAGTGCTTTCATATTTCCTTTATGGAGTAAGAAATTCAATAACTCAAAATGGAAACCCGGTGACCTAAGAAGCGTTGAACATCTTTATTATTTGAATTTCGCGACGCCTTAGAAATCATGTAAAACGGTATTCCATTTCCGCTGGCGTCCTAGTGAAATATTTCTGAAGAGCACGAACTGTTGCTTTTTGTTGGAAAAGATTCCCGCTTGTAAGCTTTCCTACAAACGTTTCGATTACAAAAGGATATTTAGAAATACGGAACAACATCAGCTATATCCTATTTAATTTATTTTATAACGCTCATTTTATACTTTCGTCGAATTTACCAAGGATATTACCAAAGTTTTTAAGATAATTAAGAATCTAAGTAAATTTCAAAACGGATTCTGTTCATTGTTATTGTGCAAAATTTTAAAATTGTTTATCGAATTAGTATTCCATTTGTTGCAGAAAGGGGTCAGCGCTAGACGTTAAATTTAACAACAGAAAATGATATCGTGTCACTGCAACATCTCTAAAAGCATTAGCAAATTGCGGTTTCAATTATACAGATGAATTTAAACTTGAGAGAAGCTACAATACAATTCGCTGAATTAATTGTTTAAAACAACGCAACAAAATATGTAATGTAATACATTTATAACAGTAATAAAGTCATGTTTATAAAATCACTGTAATTATTAATAAGGTAACCACAAACATATTAATAACTCGATTCATCGAAAAATAATGAATTGATATTGATAAGCTATAATAATGAACGAGTTCGATGAGCCGTGCTTTAATTAATTTTAGCTCAAAAACCCAAAACGAATATTTGAAATAAGGGTAATTGGAAACGATGGAAAAACTAACTTTCGACCTAAAATGATTACAATAGGTTCGATAGGAGAATAGGATGATAGGGTAAATGACAGAGAGATTTAATTTTGTTAATAAATGAAATAGGTACTTACTCGTAGTATGTGACTGCTTGCAAGAGGCACTCCCGGACCTCCAGCGGGAAGTGTCCGGGATCGTTCTGTCCCACGCGGCCGAGATGTTTGCCTTGAGCGTGGTACACGTTACCCAAGTTATAAAGAGCCCGCCCCTCACTAAGCTTGTCTCCCAAAGACCGGGATATTTCTAAATGTCGTTTACAACATTGTATCGCCTCGGGGAATTTGCCCATAACTTTTAAAGTATTGCCTAAATTACCTGACGCTTTTGCTTCACCTAGTTTGTCATTTATTGTTCTGTAAATGAAGAGTTAATTAGAACACAAGTAATTGTTAAATTGAATTCCCTGTGTATTCCATATTATGCTTTCAAAACATAAATAATATCATAAATAACATTATAAAAGCTCTATGTGTTTTATATTACTGGTTTGGTACTCAAACAAATTTACTCGTAATTAATATGTAATAACATCGCTCATAGGGAATTATAATTTGAAATTAATACCCGATTATTCCATAAAAACCTACTACACATTTATACTAATGTAGTCAAGTATTTCAATGATAATATATTATTACAATAGCCCTCGAAGAGATTTCCAATAAGTAGGTTGTTGACTTCGTTGTATAATAAAATATAATACGATTCCCGACAGGCGAAGAGGTTCATTAAAGGCAAAGGTAAGATCCTATTAAGAAAATTAAATGAAACGTACAATGTACCTACGATAACAAGCAAGAAGTTACAAAAATACATACATTATTATGATTGTTCTTTGTGTTCATATTTAACAATTCAAAATAAAATAAGTATACATCATACATTAATTTTGACTCAAAAAGTCCTTAAACGGAAGTTGTGGGTTTAAACTGCCAAAACGCCGTTTCTTTACAAAAAAAAAATTCTGTTCAAAGACAAAGAAAAAAATCAAGTGTTTTATTCTTGGTAAAAAATATTTTGGCTTGAGTATAAAAAGTACAGATTTAATTAATATGAAATTTAAAAGCAATTATGGTTCAATCTTTGCTGTAAAGTAGATTTTCTTTTGTTCATCTTTGAGACGAGGTAAATGTAAAATGATAAATATTATAATTATCTAGATGAGACGATGAGGACATAAACCAGAAAGGGTTAAGAATGAATGTGGATGACTACAAAGGAAGACCGAAGAAAGTATGGAGGGATTGTGTGAAAGAGGATATTCTTAAGAAGGGAGTGGATTCAGATATGATGGCTGATAGAAATGTATGGAAGAGAAGCACGTACTGTGCCGACCTACCATAAGGGATAAGGACAAGTTTATGATGATTATAATTACCTAGCTAAAGTAAGATCGTGTTTGTGGAACTGCATCGCTTTGTTGTAATCGCCTAAGTAAAAGTAGGCATTGCCGAGTTGGCTGTAAATAGCGCTGAGGGTGCGAAGATCGTCGGTGCCGGCGCGTATCGCCGCCTGGAAGAAAGCGACGCCGGCACGGCAGTCTCCCGCCTTGCAAAGTCTTTCACCCTCTAATGCTAACTCCAGACACATAGAACCTCCATCACAACTCTGCAATTATATGTATCGATAACAACTCTGAAATAATACCGGATTAAAAAAAAATACAAATCAAATTTTGCCTTGCTCCCTCAGATCCCTTATTTTTTTTACCAAAGGGGCATGTTTTATTAACATTATAACGACTAAGTTAAGGTAATACTTATAATAATTCTGTTCTGAGACTTCCTAAATGAAAGCGACTCTAACTGCGCCAGTTAGAATACAAAGTACTGTACGAGTTGGAATAGTTTGAAACATCATTTATTATATATAAAAGTAACATTACCATGTTCACAACTGAAGTGGTAAGGATCAGAGCTCCATTAAATTGATATTGAAAGGAGCTTTCATCCTACGCAACGGAAGCATTGACTGCATTCCCAGAACAGCATCGTAGATATAAAATAAATCTTCGCCTACGAGCCACGGGAAACAACGTAGAAATAAATTACAAATACTTGTGACGGTAAACCAACGCTTTAAAACGCAGTAAATTAGACTACACACCAATGTTACAAAAATGCACATTTACAGCCAATGCACATTAATTTAAAAACAACAGCTAAATACAACAACATTGATTTAAATATCTGACATCAAACTATGTTCAGTTGAGAATATTTTTTATTACGGGTCCAAATTAAAACGTAAGTTTTATCAAATGTCTTAAATACTATATTAACCTAAAATTGCTACGAACATAAATTTATGTTCAGCTGAAATCTAAATAATAAACCCTTAGCTGTAAATATAGTAAAACCTAAATATTCTCTATTTAATAAAGCTCCAAGTATAGCCTTTTCAAATTCCCATCGGCAAAAGCCACGTCGTTTTAATGATTTTTGACTTTGAGGATTTTACATGCCACCGCTTTTGATTGGAAGTAGATTGAACCAGCGCGGCGAAATATTTGGGTCTAAATTTTTATTTAAACATATAAAAAAATCGGCTTGCAAAAACCCGACGCATCACACAACAGCATAATGGCTAAGTGGATAACAGATCTGGGAGTCGTGAGTTCGAAACCTATTCGACAACATTGCGAATCATATCTAGACACCATCTGGGAGATTTTACGAAATTAATATAGAAAGGGCAGCTAATATTTCTCAAATAAACATATTACTTTATATTCTTTGGAGTTTAAAGTTCAATTTATTAAACAGTTTACATGATAGTTAAGACTACAGCTAATCATTTCTGTTAAAAAATTGTGTTATACTTACGAGAGCATCTTGTAACCGTTTAAAGTTTTCTTCTTGCACTAATTTTTCAGTAAGAATAACTCGATAAAAAGGTCCGTGTTTAAAAAATGTATTTATAAATCACGATAAGCGATATAAACATTTAACTGGAATTATTATAGATAATGTAACAAAGAAAATCTCAATCTAAAAATGACTATCAACATTCTTCAACTTTTGTCAACTTATATTAACAAAAGCTTGTATTTTACTTGAACCCATAATTTAAAATAGCTCACAGTACATAGAATTCTGTTAAAAAAAACGTGCGAAATAAATATACTTTAAACGTTACAACTCAGGCATCGACTACTGTGACATGAGAAGTAATAAATATGGTGGTAAACGATTTACCGTAAAACTAATAATCAAAGTTACCGTGGAAGAAATCTGGTCGATTTGCGATTGGAGCGGAAGAGCAGAGCGTCCCGGCACCAGCAAATGCAGCGAAGCTACTGGGGGTAAATTCAAACTGAGCCTGCACAAGCCTCACACTCACACGAATGCAGCTTGCACACCGCGATCTCACGTCTGCCTATACGTGTGAACCATCTCAAATATTTAACTACTATAATACCTTCCAATAACTATGATTCGTTTCAGATCTCGTTGTTTATTATGGTCGCACTAAAATCATCACTTAGAGATTAAAAATTAACTTTTTTTTGGAAACATTTAAAATCATAATATGCAATCGGACTTATTGTCATGTTTAGTAATTACAAATGACATATTTCTAATCATTTTTTTTATCTACCTATGTAGATATATTTTATGTGTGCATTTACGTTCCCTAGATATTCCTAACCATTGGACAAATTGATAGATGGGGAAACAAGAATGTTTCGAGGACATCGGATAATGTTTATGGAATAAAAAACCGAAAATAAGACTTTTTTTTTATAATAAAAGGGCGTAGAAAAATAAAGAGCGGCGTGAACACGGAGGTGGTCATCGTTATGACAGAAAAAGATTCACACAACTTTTTTTTTTAATATTTAGAATTTTTGCAATTATTTCAATTTTCACATTTCAACTCTCGCAATGTTCTACTTAGTCCTGCCTGTCAATCATTAATCGTTTTAGAATCAGTAGCAAAGTTCACAATAACTAATAATTAGGTGTGCACTAACTGATACGAAAAACTATTTTCTTGGAACCAGATAATTAAGGTGAAAATGTAAGTCAAATTAATTTATTTTTAGTAGCTAAAACATTTTTAGAACAGAAAAAACTTACGTGAAAAAGTTACATTTAAGAAAAAGTCAAAATAATCTATGTGGCCCTGTGACTGTTTTATGCCAACTGCAGTAATCGATTGGATTGAAATTATTCCTTCGTTGCGAACATTTTAATTAATGGTTTGGAGCCGCTAAAGTTTAACCAAAATTCGTTTATGGTGATTGACACGAAATTTAATTAAACTGTCAATATTCACCCGTCATGCCCGTACTGCGATGCATTCCTCCCTTCAATGATGTCAAAATTTCATGCTTGCATACACCGCGCCAGCGGGAAACACTAAGCGATCGAACGCGTTAAATCCATTAGTAATTTCGAATAGCTATCAACAACTACAAACGTAGTGACTAAATTCCAATTAAACACAATTTATATTATTTTTAAAAATCAAAAGTGAGCATCCTATGTGTCCCTCCACACTATTCTCTACGTCTGTGCCAAATTTTATCGAGATCCGTTCAACAAACCTCCATCCCTCTATCTATCTAAACTGCACAGGATTGGACATGAATCTTAGAGAGATAATCAAACCGGATAGAGGAAGGCCGAATAAAGTATGGATGGATTCAGTGAAATAGTATATGCTTAAGAAGGGAGTGAGTTCAGATATGACAGCTGATAGAAATATATGGAACAGTAACACATACTATGCCGACCCTCCGTAGTAAGTTGATGAGAGAGATATTTTTTGTTTCGCAATTAAACATAAATAAATAAAAGTAAAGAACAATAGTACTAAATATTAAAACAAAATACGTTTATTGTCACGTTTTTAACTTTTAACTTAGGCATTGGATGGAGAGGTACAGCCGCGGTTTTGTTGTAAACATTCATTGCAAATGATAAAAAGAAAATGAAAACGATTTAAAATCCATAGTGAGTGACAGTGTCCAGAGGGGAAATCGTACTCACGAACCTCGATTAGATTGGCAATACATTGAAAAAGTGGGGACATCCGGGGATATTGCGAATATTATTTGTAACTTAACTCTACCGATTACTGTTATCAGGTAATGTATGAGAATAGTTAACTAAGTTTTCGTATTAAGTGCCATAATCTCTGCATGTAAAAAAAATTGTGCCTTACCATAAACTTGGACAATGTTAAAATACATTTCAGCTTAAACTTAAGACAACCATTTTATACCGTATTTAGCCTTGACATGGATTTTTGACTAATCATGATTATTGAAACATACATACGTAGGCGTACTCAATGCATTTTTGTCTCACTCCATAAAAATAAAAATACTTATACCGAAAAACTGTGACACTTATTTATGTAAAACATATAACAGTATTGGAGTCCGTAATATCAATAAGAGGTGGATAGAGTTTTCTGTTTGTGGTAATATGTGCAATTTACGAACACTTTTCCTTCAGTTATATACGAGTAGTATAAATAAAATTTTGAGTTCAATATGAAATTTAAAAATCACATAAAAGCGTATCCGTAAAATCCCACTCCTATCAAACTTGTATTAAAGGACTTTTGTTCCTTTAGACAAATGGACAAGGGTTTCGACGATGGAAACAGTTATTAGAATGAAATACAATCACAATATTCCATTAAAAAGCCTTTGTTGGTGACATTTCGAATATTCTGTTTGTGTTAGTCAACGACAAAAGAACGGTAAAATGATTTCATGCAATTGGAACGTTTTGTTAAAACAAAACTGCTCCATATAGGGGACGTCGACAGTATCGTCGGGTGAAATTCGTCGGACATTTTGCATTAATACTTCCTCTCTGGTAAAGACATATGTCGATCACTTTTAGGTCATGTCATCGGAAGTGGGCCACGCGTAATTGAAAAAGCAAGGCCTGCGGTGTACACTACGACCTACATTCACGGGAGAACACTAATTTTATACGCTACGCCCTGTTATTAGATTTCAGGTGCACTTTCCACTTACAGGATGCTATGTCTACTGGGACAAGTCTTCCGCATGCCTTACATTCTCCATAACCATTTAAGTAAGAACTGCCTATTAATGCTCCATTCCATGTTCTAACAATTTTAGGCATGAAAAATCAAGGTTTGGATTATTACTGTCGTTTTAATTTGTATTTTTCACTAAGTTACTAAGTTACACACTTATTGAAAATTACGAACTAGGTATACTACTCCGTGACAAGTGGACTTAAAGCTTATGAAATTATTAATGGGAACTTATCTAGGGGTATTTATGTGTTCAGTGAAGGGGACTGGAGACTGAGACAAACACAAACAGATGACAAGACGATTTGATCCACTTTCAGGTTAGTCAAATTAATCAGGAAATTAAGAGCATGAATGATGCAAAATACTATATACAATATTATTACTGCCACAAGGATTTCGTTCTTGATTCTTACTTTATAACACTAGCTTTTTTTCAACGACGAAAGCATTCTTTAGTTTACGAGCAAATATTATCTCATATAATAAAGACGAATAATGACAAGTTTTAATTTACCAGTTTATACTGAATATTTAATTTAATTACAATGAAAGACAGTGATTGTAGAGTCTTAATAACATTACTAAAACAACAAATTAGACAGTACAAAGCATAAATCCAATTAGCAACCAATTAATAACATGCTCGCCAGAGTGAAATATACAGAATACAGTTTCCAGTCTATATCAATACATTGATGCATATACTGTTTCAATGCTCGTATTTCGTTACACTCAGACGTATTTGCAGTGGCAGGCCATTTAGAATAGTCAAAACAACATATTGATTTCAGAAGGGATGTGAAGGGGGAGTGTTACTGGTGGAGTGGGAGGGGAAAGGCAAATGTTTTGTTTGTGTACATCCTTTTCTATGCCATGAAATAAATAAAGGCAGGTGACATATCTACGTTTCAATTTTCAGATCTCAAACGCGATGCCTTTCACTTTAATATTCTTAGACATTTACAGTGTGTCGCTTCCTATTTTCTATTGTGGACATAATATAGATAATGCCTTTACAAAGGTACTGGAAATTTAATCATGAAGGTATCCTCAATTTCGTATGTTATTGTCCGCGCAGGCTTAGTGGACGTTCTACCCGTTCATATGATAGACTTGAATAGGAAGCCGTAACCATGTCGCGTATGGGGGAAAATTAAATTGACAATACTGTGAGTCTGCACTGGCGCAATATTTATGTACATGCACAAAAAGTATTTTGCTCTATCCGGTTCCTTTATAGAGGAACGACATATTGTCGTTTGTACTTCGGTCAAATTAAATATTAATGCTACAATTAGAAGTACAAACGTCAACATAATTATATAATTCGCATAAAGAAAATTGGTAGTAACATTCGGAACACATTTGGAAACTGTAATCATAAAACTACACGGCACTCGACAAAGTTATTAGTGTGATCCAATTCGGCAAATTAATTAGCCAAAGAGCCAAAAATGAAAATTACAATAATCAAGCGCTGATTTTTAAAAAAAATTGATGGGAGGTATATCTGTTTCTTTGAAAAACATTGATAACACTAAATGCGATAAGCACGTTCTTACGGTGATGGAAACCATCGTGATGGAACACAATACAAAGTTATGAGTGAAGTCAACCCACACATGTGGAAAATCATCATAACGAAATCGATATAACATAACTTAACGAAATCCTATATCCTTAACTATTTTTAAAACCATTGATGCTCATATAATACATTAAAATTATTTTGTGGTATTTAAATTATGATATAACAGCTGTCGCCCGCGACTCCGTTCGCGCGAAGTTAAAAAAGAACTTAATTAGTAGTCTATGTATTCTTCCAGACAATGTCCAACATATATGCGAAATTAGTAACAAACAATATTACAACAAAAGTAACAATTAATATTAATCAGGTTATCACTTCTAATGTCATATTGAGGGCATCTTATTCTCATAATATAAAAATATCGATAAAATTCAGATATAAAGTAAATTATTACTATATTTCATTAACTAAAACAATTCTTTATTTGTCGTTCTGTTTTTTTATTAATAAAATAGCTGTTCCCTTGCAGCTTCATTTGCATGAAATTGTGAAAATTTTATTTCATTGTTTACTTTTGTCAAATTATCAAGAACAAATCTCAAAATGACATGACATGACAAGCCTTAGTAATCTTGCTTCCTTGATGTTGGCAGCAACTTACGGTATCTTTCCCACAGGGTTTTTATCAAAAAAAGGGATTATACAAAAATATGCAGTAATTGCTGACATCTTAGACTACAAAGAAGTGCGTGTTTACGCTTCATTATAATAGATTGCAATATATTTTTTGCCAATACTAAATTATAATTAATTAATTAGGATAAGGCAGGGGAGATGATGAATCACAAAAAATAACAACAATATTATCTTTGGCACACTGAAAAAAATCAATAATACCACATATAATTTTATTGCAATGAACGCATTTCTTAATTGCAAATGCTAATGATGCTTAAATTAACATAAAACATGTTAACTCAATGTGAACATAAACCAGTTCTCCATACATAATACTGATTGAATAAGCACTCTAAAGTTACATGGTTCAGTTGTAGTTGTTAAATATAAGTATTAAAGAACTAGTTTTTGCAGTGCCTTCGTTGACTTGAACATAGCCTATCTGTTCTTCCAGGCTTTATTCTATACGAACTGTTGCCCGTAACTTCGTCCGCGTGGTATTAGAAAACATACTAACTATAAAAATTACAAAAAGCTTCGTATCCCATGTGTACTCCAGACTTTGTTTTATATCTGTGCCAAATTTCAATAAGGTGTTTAACCGTTGCAGAATAATCGAGTAAACATTAAAAAATTAAATTAATGAATCCCACGGGAACCGTAACTATTTCCAGGATAAAAAGTTGCCAAATGTGTTCTTCCAGACTATGCTCTAAACCTGTGCCAAATTTCATGGAGAACCGTTCAGCCGTTTAGGCTACAAACGCTAACAAACATCCATCCATCCGTCCATCTAAACTTTCGCATTTATAATATTAGTAAGATCTATGTCAAATATTGTTGACATCCTTTTGTGAATACCTAGTAACATTCATTCATCCATTTATTTTACGCTTTTATAATATCACTAGCTGTTGAACGCGACTATGCTTGAGATGAATTTGAAAAAGAAATAGTTAAGTAGCTGAGGTGTTCCTCTAGACTATGTTCTACATCTGTGCCAAATTTAATAAAGATCCATTTAGTCGTTTAGAGATACCCTAGAACATACAACCAAATTATTAATATTAGAAAGAGTAGATATAGTAAGAAGTAACATTATGTTAAGTAGTTAATTACATTAAAAATGCAAGTTGCGAAAGTTTAGATGTAGAGGATAGTCTGGAAAAACACATAGGCTACTTGCTTTTTTTTTTAATAAGGACAGAGGTACGGACGAAAGATAGTATGTAAACAAAACACAATCAATATTACTGTATTACATGTTTCTCATCCCTCTTATTCTAATGACTTATTTAATGAATTCATTAACATGCCAATAAATAATTAAAATCACTCATAATCATTAATTTAATACCTACTTTACAATTTGTAATATTCAAAATGTATTGCATGCCATTGGCTGACATCCCAAGTCTATACTGATATATTTTCCATATGGTAATACATGTTCCAATCGATATGATCAATTAGATATCATTACTAGTTTTCAGCTGAAACACCTTCCATCATCATCATCCACTTGCCTTTATCCCTTACAGAGGGTCGGCATAGTATGTGCTCTTCCATACATCTCTATCAGCCGTCATATCTGAATCCACTCCTTTCTTAAGCATATCCTCTTTCTCACAATCCATTCATACTTTCTTCGGCCTTTCTCTTCCTTTGTAGCCATCCACATTCAATCTTAACACTTTCTGGTAAACCAGTCATTTCCTTTTTTCTTCCTCATTTTCTTGTCCCCATCATTTCGTCGCATAACACGTCTTCCATGGGGAAGTAAAAATAAGGAAGTTGCTTTCTTTCACACTATGTTCTACATCTATGCCAAATTTCATCCATTCAGCAGTTTAGATTAAATACTCTAACAAACATCCATCTTAACTTTCACATCACATTAGTAAGATGAGATAAATTACATGTAACACAATTCAGATATAGTTTTGTAGAAATGTTTTTTAAATTTACTCAACATTCTTATAGTAAAGAAAAACACAACTATGCATATATCGGCGAAGAAATAGAGGGCCCGCATGGTTGACTATGACCTAGTTACAACTAACTCAGGGCAGGCACCGAGCCCCTCAGTGGATACATATAGTGAGCCTTGAACTGTTATGAAATACATGAAGTCCAAAGAGCAACCAGTGCATTATTGAACTGACTATGGACTTGCTTATTTATTTGCTAATAAGTGTTTATTTATATAAATGATAGTATAGTAAACTCAGTCGACTTTTATTGCTATTGTTTCTCATTATAATAACAGTCAATGAATAAGTGTGCATTACTGTGACTCAGTAAGATCATAACATTTTTAAAAAGATAGTGTTACAAACAGCGCTATTCATACAAACCATTGACAAATAGAGTAAGAATACAATTTAACAAATGACTCGATAGACAGATTCAAGTTTGGATGCTTGGTTAGACATTTTCTGTTATGCAAACCTCCGCAGATTCATATATGTACATGATATTAACATGTATAAACCATTCTTTATATTAGATAAACATAGCTTATTCCCTACAATATATTTTAAAACTTTAGTTCAGAACACCTTTATTGAATCACACTCAATTGTGCTTACATAATTTTTAGCATAAGGTATTTCTTGTTAAGTAATAAGTTTTATAAACAAGTTTAGCAAATACAATGTTAACAGACCATTGTAAATTATAAATAATTACTTTTAAGGGAATAAGACATCCAAGATCTATATGCGTGGTCTTTTCTTTCGATTCGTAAATTAGTTTTATTTGGAGCATGTTACTTTTTAGTTCAAAATAAGTTTTTGCATTGTATAGATAACACTGAGATCTGGGGTTAAATTAATAATGAAGACATGATAGATAAAGTCAAGAGTAAATAGGTTGGCGCGTAATTTACGTTACGTACTGACAACTGCACTGAGGCAAACAAGTCGCTACTTCCGTATTAGGACCCAAACGTGACTCATGCCACTTCGCTTAAATCATACCACTAGGAGCTGTGAACATGGTTATGATAGATATCGTACATGTATCTAACTTTGACACAGTTAAGAATCTTTTTGAATAATTATTCATAACATAAATATGTTATTATATTCTTACTTGCGTATCCGTCGATAAATTCTCGGCACTGGCACTTACAGACATTCTAAACACTTAATTATATAATGACACAAACAAACAGAAAATTTAAATTTGTACTTTAGTTAATTCTCATAACTTTGTTTACGTAGAGTGTGTTTGGCGCAGGGCGTTTACGAACGGTTAAGTTTACAGTTGACACCAGTTGACACCTGCACACAGTTGTATTTAACTTTCAGTGTTGCTAGTAGGCAGCATTGTTACCATACAATTAATAAATAATATACTAATAATCTAAAAAGAATCTCAAAATCATTTGATATTAAAGCACAACCATTAAACACATTAATGAGCTTGTAAATAAGACAAACAAAAAATTGTACAATTTACGTTTTACCGTAACTGCCACTTCCTTACTGAATCGAAATAAATATCACCAGAATCGGTGAATAAGATGAAAAAAACACACTGTAAAATCGGTGAAAAAGGTGGAAAAAACACATGCTATTTCATAGGGATAACAAAGAAAGCTGACTCTACTACTATATGAGATAAATTAGGAAGAAATAAAAAAAAGTACAAGGAAAAATCAAAATAATTTTATATTAGCGACATCTATTGTCTACATTTCAAATCGTTTGCATTTTGAAACTTGTAGTGGACACTACTTCAAAACAATATACTAGAGGGCGCTCCCACAGACAAATATTGAACATCACTGGATGATTTTCAATGCAGTTTTTCTCAACGAAGTGTTTAATAAAAAAATGGTTGTTTTCTAGGATTTTCCGTCTTCTGTTTTGATTTGTTGGTTTGGATTTCAGCGAACTTGACCTGGTAAAATTTTCAGTTATTCTTTAATTTTTTTATTGCAAAAGCTTACCTTTACTATTAAATAACTACTTTTTAACTACCAACCTTATCGCTGTTGCAGTTATTTTGCATTTTGCTAGAATAAAAGGAACCAAGTGCCTATAAAGTTCATATTTTAAAAGCAGCGAATAACCTCGTTACTTAATATACCTATTCGTTATAGCTTAGTAATGTTTATTTGCGTGTGTCACTGAATCATTTAGGTAACTACATCATTATTGTAATATTATCCGGAGGTGACGTTAACAAAATTTGATCCATACATCCGTACTAATTACGCTGCTTAATGCATTAGCATGTCGCCAACCCATATCATAAACAGGCTGGTTATAGAAGGCTTATTCGAAGTAGATTTTATATGTGTTGATTTTTCGATCGTCTAGTCTAAGGAAAAAGACCCTAAACACCTCTACCCGCACCTGACTCTGCTCGACGCTGTTTTAGACAGTTTTATTATCTCATCGGCTTTTTGTTATTTTCAGCTTAGTTATGTATTTAAAGTAGAGATGATAAAGTAATCCATGTCCTGAATCTATAAAGTTATATAACTACGTAAAGAGGGAGTAAATTGCAAAAGGCATCTACGTTTAACTACCCGAAGCTAGCGGGGGTTGTCGGAGAATGGAGTTCGGTGAAGGGATGAGAGGGAGGGAGGCTCGTTAACTATGCAAATACCACGCGGCGGACTAGCCAAATTGTATGACGACCATCAATATACGAATAACAGGAATTTAAATTTTGAAATCAATCACGTCGAAAGTTAAAAATGTTATATGGATGAAGAGACGTGAAAACAGAACAGATCCTCTAATTTCGATTTAAATCTCTTCCAGAAAGTGGTATTAAAAACGACAATCATTAATTTCAGACTCCAGAGGGGGGGGGGGTCTGTGATGAGGAGCATTTGCCCCTCCCTATCCCTAACCCCTCTAGCACAACCCATGATTATTTTCAAAACATTCATGTTTGAAGTAATAAGCAATGGATGGATGTTTGTTAGAGTTTGTAGCTTAAATGGCTCAATGGATCTCGATGAAATTTGGCATAGATGTAGAACATAGTCTGAAAGAACACATAGGCTATTTACATTTGATTCTTTTTTTAATTCCACGCGGACGGAGTCGCGGGAAGCTAGTTGGAAAATAAAATCTAGTTTTAAATTTTCCCGCAATGTCAGCGTGTTGTAGGGAACACAATTAAAGTTAATTATTACATTCTAGGTTCTGTTAAATGATTAACCAGGCATACTCGGCGCTAAGCTACTAACTAATACTAACAGAAAATGTCCTGTCTCGATAGTTACTTATGGTCACTGAGTTTGAGTTGCAATCGAATCGACAAGCACGCCCCCCGGCAATGATTAGCACGCTGTACGCAGCTCATGATGATTTCACACGAGGGCAGAACAGTAGCACAGTGCTTCAGTGCAGTACTGACAGACGACATCTTACTAGCAAAACAATAGTGTCTCGATGTTGTGCATTTAAATAATAGGAATACTGCATTATGGTAGTGCGCTGTTCACTGTTCTGCTCTTGTGTGAAATTAGCTTCAGCGACGCTATGCTACCTATTTAGGTTTTGTATTAGGTAGGTATTGTATTTACAATACCTATCCGCTCTTCTAGCTTCAATTAATATCCATGTGAATATCATATTTCACTGTGTTTATTAACATAATACTTTCTATTAAATGTAACTTTTTTTGGCCACTGTATTAAAAGTTATCAGATTTTGTTTTTCATAATATTTGTCTGGATCTATCGGTACGTATTGAGTGTATCAGTAATTCTATACATATAATATAATTGGAGTGTCTGTTTGTAATATCAAAAGAAAAAAAATTCGAGAAGACAATATATTTGCGTTGTTGATAACGAAAATCGCATTTAAATTTTTTTGTCTGTCTGTCTGACTGTCCGGAAGCCACGTTTTGTCCGGGTAATCTCCGAAATGACTGGGCCGATTTCGTCCGGAACTTCACTGAAGGGTAGCTGAAATAGGCGGCATATTGGAGACTAGTTTTGTAACTTAATATTGCGTGGACAAAGCCGCGGGCAACAGCTACTCTCATATAAATTTATATCAATAAAGCTTTCACTGCATACCGGCCGTATAATACAGATAGTATATCTAAGTTGAATATTTATATAAGCACAAAAGATTCCATGAGCACCGCTGGGTACGATTACCGAAATCAAAATCGACAGATATCGATACTGCGTTGTTGTTTTGTTGAAGCCATGCAGTACGCCATCGTTTGTGTTATAGAATTATCGTTCTTATTTCACAGTCATTGGGTATGTAATGCAATAATGCGAATGAGTCCGAACGGGATGACTTGCAGAGGCGCGGTGGTCCACAACAATTGCCGACCACTAGTAACGATTTTAGAGCGCAGGTCAATGAAAATTCAGAGGGCAATTTAAACTTATTAAATTAATTTATTTCAATTTTGTAATCGACATTAGCAAGGTATCGATACAGAAACATTAATGTTTCAGCTTGCTTTCTTTAAATTACGAAGTTATTTTTACTATAACCTAAAGACAATGATTTTCTACTGAAAATAGGTAAGGAAAGAATCGTGTGAATTAGAATGATTAAAGCCACAGAACAAAATCAGAGTAATTGCAGTAGTGTTGCCATATTTTAAGTGAAACTAAATTTACACTAGATTAAGAAATCACGCTGAGAGTGGCTTAACTTATACATTTGTTGTTTTTTTTATAATGAATAAACTCGCAGTTACGATCTATCTAAAGGGTAGATGATCTATGCCGACCCCGTTGCTGGCGACATGAAAAGGCGGGTATCACCGGCGCGGCAACTGAGAATGATATATGGAGAGGCTATGACGCGATGCTTTGATGCCACCTCAATATCTATCTGTTAGTGGCTCCAGTGGACATGCCTACATTCAACTAAGAAAGGTTAAAGGCGGTATTCAGTTGATGTGTGCAATGGACATCATATCAATTATAACCTACTTGGATACTATTTACAAAAATAATATTCAAATTATACTAACACTCAGACTCTTTAATTAGTGACTAAGAAACTCTTAGTATTAGTATAGATGTCTTTAACTAAATCTACATCTAATGAACCATTTAATTCCAGAGTGTTGCATTTAGACATTTTCGGATTAAGCACTAATCAGTAGTAGTTTTAAAAACAAAAGAAACGCAATACATGAGAAATGTGTACTAATTGTATGTGCATTTAATGCAATGTAATACCTTATCCGACGTTATTCGTGTGTCGATGTAACAATCGCAAGCTGTCCGGGGCCATAGGTCGGAATTCCGACGTCGACCAGGGGGGCAACGCCACTCGGAAAAGTCGGATTTCATAATGAACGCCAACACAACCCAATACAAACCCAATGCACAATCACCCATCATATCACTGTTGGTGACGTCAAACTCAAATTTACTTCATCGTTGATGAGATATACAGGAAACCCATCATCTAAACTAAATAATCTTAAGGCAACAAGTTAACCAAGGAAAAAAGAACACTAGGAAAAATTTAAATCAAAGGAATCATGTTTACCAGTTTGTTTGTATTATTTTGGGATGTACATTTTAATCATAAAGAGAAAATTTTTTGGTTGTATTGAATGGGAAACTATCTTATAATACGCACTTCAAAGAAAGCATTCGACCAAACCAAACATGCGATCGTATTCACAGTTGCGTTGATAATTAACAACAATGTGCGACTAAAATAAAGTACATAAACAATTCATTGTACAAACGAAGCACACGTAGGGGATTAAAGAAAAAAGACAATTTTTCATTGCTTAATCAAATGTAACTTGCTTCTGTTGAACTTAAAAGCTCACTTCATAAAAAGCTTCATCTGATTAGTTACCAATTAAAGGCGTGGACAACGTGTCGGGTAGCACGCGCGTGACACGTGCCCGGGCGTGTTAGCACGTGTTAGCGAGCATTGACAATACGAGCCGCGATCGCTTCCTTCCTGCATAACGCCTACGTGTTTAAACGTATTATGACCGACTGACTAATTTATGAACATCTATGAATTTTGTTACGCATTGTTCTCGTCTTTTATGTTGCATTAATTTGGTATTTTGTAATGGTAAACTTTTTTAGGCAAGTAGATAAAAGAAAGGAGATATAGATAGCTGATAAGAATTACTTGAAAAATAAATAAAAGTCGGTAAGATAGATGTCCGATGAAATAAAGCAATCCAAGTAAGCCATTGAAAAAGCCCTTATTATTGGGTGTTTTAAACGCTGCCCGTTTAAAACACCCAAGGGACTTGTTACAGAGAGTCATGTGCGGACCTCACGTAATAAGTATTGAATTATTTAGGGG